ACACAGGAGAAGCTCCTGGTGCCAAGACTGGCCCTGCTCAGAAAAGGGTGCAAATACCTTTGACCGCATCCATCTGACACAGGGCAATGGCAAAATGCGAGAGGAGCAGAGGTGGAAAGGCAAAGGTGAGGATGGAGACAGACTCTAACATCTCCTGCCATCTACACCCCCAAAAAGAAACCATACACATTGCACTCTGGGGAAGGATCTCAAAAATAGAAGAAAATAAAGACACTTATTTTCTCAACCTCAGAGCACTGGTGAAATGAAGATACTTCCTGGAATTACCTGGGGAAGGAAGCACAGAGAGGGAGCAGGGGATTCTGAAGCAACACTGAGCACTCCATCTCTCTGCAAACACCTCGAGAGCTGGGCTGCCAGCACCCTCAGCAGGATGGTCTCCTCCACCCCCACCCCCTTTGCATGAGGAAGACAGAGGCACAGGGCAGTGACACAGCTGGCAAGCCAAGAAGGAACAGAACTAGGAGGCACCAAATCCCCAACCCCAAATTAATCCTCTACAGATCACCTTCGGAGTGGAGATCAGGGAGGCTGCACATGGGGCGGTGGGTGAGATGGGGAGAAAGGGGGAAGGAGGCTTTTTATAGTCATATATTTATATATAAGAAGTAAATAAGATCCCAGCTCTCGCGTGATTATTGGGCAATTGAAAAATGCAGCAAAAGCAAGCGACATTGGAGTAAAAGGATGTGCCAGGCAAGGAGGAAAAAGTCTTGTCAGAAGGTGGGGAAGGAAGCAAAAGGGAAAATAAGCACTTAGCCAAACATACACTCCAGGTTTGTTACAGCTCCCTGGGAAGAAGGACCTGCTCCTGAGCAGCCCCACTAATGCCATGGCCTGGGGTGGGCAGAAGAATGGGGAACTCAGGACACCATCCTTCAGGCATGGCAACCTCTTTCTGCCAGGAAGTCCCCAGGGAGGTGGTCATCTCCAAACGCTGGGAGCTGCTGAAGCCTCCTCTACAAAGAGGGGCTGGAGAAGGGAGTGATATCCCTAGGAAGACTCAGCTCAGAGACAGCTCCTACCTGGTAAAAAGCATTATTGTGGGTTTGAATTTTTTTTTCTTTATTTGTTTATTTCACAAAATTTCCCTGGGAACTTCAGTAAGGGGAGACACAGAGAAATGCTCCCATTCTCTTTTGAAAACAGAATTTAAGCAGTGGCTCACCACAGCTGGGCCTGCTCACCACACTAATTCTGTTTTTCATCCCCAAAGGAGCTTGTATCTCATTAGCTTCATGCCCCTCCAGTCCCATGCTGCTCATTGGGAGGAGAGCCTGAGACAGGAGGTTTCTGTTCCAAGTTGAAAGCCAAGGGAAGCACCGACACTTTGATGGGCAGACAGAGAAGTTCCCAAGTGCAGCCCAGGCTATGGGAAGCATTGAGACATCAGTCATCTGCCACTGCAAAGGGCACCAGAGAAGTCCAGACAAGAAAAGTCGTTCAAGTGTCCCTGCCTACCATCTTGTGTTCAGACACCAACATCTGGTGGTTTCCCTCTTCCCTGCAGTCACTCCCACGCGCCAGATGAACACCAGAGACATCTTGGGCAGGGAAGTCAGAGCTTCCAGCATCGCTCTGAAGGAACATTCAGGCAACTCTTCCCCACCACCCCAAAGGAAGCTGGAGAAGAAGGCTGCCCTACTTGACCAGTCCTGTCAGAGTGTTCCTCTCCCCTTCTCCACCCTAAAAACTTCCAGCATTTGCTGGCCTCGAGAAGAGGGTGCACGTCCCGCAGCAACACAATCAGAGCACACACAAGGCAGCGCTCTCATCTGCCTCTAGAGATCTGGCCACTGTCAGAGAAGGGGTGCTGGAATACACAACAATGGGATTCAGTTTTCTGTCCTGATGTGGTGAATTCTGTACAGAAAAATGTCACCCCCCACCCGGTATTCAAAGGAGTTTAAGAAACCTTACAGAGGAGAGGCATATCCGCTTCCCAGGAAATAAGCCCACCATGATTAATTCTGTTTGGATATAGGGGATGGAAAAGAGACAGCAACTTGGCAGGAAAGGTACATGCCAACCCAAAATGTTAGCGGCTTGCTGTGCATGCAAAGTAAGTCAACTGTTTCCACATTGATGGCCTGATCCATGTTCCGCCAGAACGTGAGCGGCCATCTCTGAGGGCTGCTCAGCCAGAAAACCACTTGGAGACTCCACCTTAGCTCACAGGAGAGGTATGGGAGGGAAGGGAACTCACTCCAACACTTGGGAGGCAAGGACGGGAAAGGTTTGTAGACAGGGTTCCTCCAACACGCAACTTGCCTTTCAGCTCAGAGATCGCTGCTTAGTCCTAGAATGCCTTTCCCTCCAGTTCAAGCAAGCCAAACACCATCCCAGACACACATGCTTCGATACTACAAAATACTCTTTTCTCTAAGGACCATCTAATACCACTACAGTTTGTGCAATCACTGCATTTATTATTCATTTTTAAACTCTCTCTCGCTCTCTCCCTGTAGAAATTTTTTTTAAACTTTTCTTTTTTTTATGCAAAACTAATCATTTCACTTTTTCCACTCCATCATAAAATCTCCTCTAAAAACACGACAACGAGAACAAACATGGCACAGACACAGAGAATATTTCCCTGTTTTTGTTGATTTTTTTTCCTAAGGGTTACGGGGAAAGGAAGGGGATACTTTCAAATAAACTCCTCCCTCAATTCCATGCCCATTTTAAAAGGCACGGATGAATCTTCTTTCCTATCTCCATTAAGGAGCAAAGGCAAAAATTCAGAAGGAGGAGCACAGCCCACGTGAATACGAAGGTAGGTTAGCTAGCCTCAAGTGTCTTGTCCACCTGAGGGAACTCGAGGCTACTGCTGCATTCAAGTTAGCAAACCTCTAACTCAAACCAGCACGGGATCCTCATTTTGGATCCAGAGGTTCAGGGTTTGGTTCCCACCTGGTGACCCACCCAGGGAGGGATTTGTCACACAAGCAGGTGAGCTGTGTCTGCAAGCCGGATCATACTCCTTTCTTCCTCCACAACGAGGATCTACCACACGAGTTTCTCTGCTGCAACAAGTCCCCTCATCTCCTCACCGCAGGAAGGAGGTCCTTGCGGAGCATCCCTACAATGACCCACTGTTTTACTCTTCACAGACAGTTCCCTTGCTTGCCACTCTGAAGAAAGGCAAAACCCCTTCAATTAAACAATTCCTGCCCCTTGCCCCCAAAGAACACCATACAAGAGACATTGGGGAAAAGAATTCTGCCAAGCAACACACCTTGGCCAAAACACATCAAGAGTTTCCTATTAAAGTTCCCTTTTATCTCCCACTTAAACGCTTCAACACTTTTTTCAGAACCTTGATACCACAAAACAAAACACAGCACCACATACACACCAAACAGTAACTTAACAACCTAAAGTGACTGGCCAGTTTGCATCCACCCCATAAAGCAGCTCCTCTTATCTCACAGATACAGATTAGTTCTTATTCAGAAGGGAGAGGAAAAAGAGAAGAATCTCCTCGCTATTTTCCTAAGAAAGAGCTTTTCCCTATGCCTACAAACTGCTCATCTTTGAAGCTGCAGTCAAATGGATAGGCTATGCTAACATAAGGGATCCCTGGGTGTGCCAGGCACAGGAAAGATGCGCAAAAGAAAACCCAAACCAAAAAAAAAAAAACCAACACCCACAAAAAATACAAGCAGGTATTAACACAGACACGCACACAAGTCCAACAAGTTATAGAAAGCCTTAGCTTGGTGAATGGATGGATCAGGGAAGTCTCTTTCTCCCTGCCCCTAGCTTCAGCTGTGAATGAAAGCACATCCCCGAAGAGTCCACTAAGCTCTTTAATCAAGGAAAGAAAGAGGTGTACCAAGGGTGGTGCTAACAGCACCTGGAATCCCCCTCAGACTGTCTGCGCAGACACCCAACCACAACTGGTGTGAATTCACCGTTTCCCATGGCTTGGAATGCCACCCACTGCAAGGCAAGGTTTGTGGGGAGGGCAGCAAAGATTTTATTACACCAACCCAGGCGCTGGAGGCAGGGAATAGACACACTCTGGGCACAAAAGCCCTAATTAAGGTCAGAAGCTGGTCTATCCCTCTACCACCCTGACAACGTCCCTTGGGCAGACAAATATTACTTCCCTCCCACAAATTGCCTCCCTTCTATCCTCAGATCACTACAACCACAAAATCACTACTGCAGGACAGCACTCCTCAGAGCCAGCAGCTCCTGAACATCCTTGTGTGAAAGCACCAGAGGGGCCAATTCCACTTGTGTTCACCTGTCCAGGGCAGGCTTATAAGCAAATGAGCCCTGGCATGAGGAATTTTTTCCACCCTTTTCACCTCTGCAGCATGTTATGTAGAAGTGACACCCCTCTGCCCCATCCAGGGACAGGGCTGAGAAGGTGAGGCTCTCCCACCAGTTCATCAGCATCTCTTTTCCTTGCCTCTACGAGCTCAGTCCTGTGCAAGTAGAGGACGAAAGGAGAGCAAAGGAACGGCTTCTCACCATGAAGCTTAGGACCCACACAGAAACAGAGCAAGCCAGAAATGGCAGGCAAAAAATAGAGCTTATCTTGGATGTGAATAAAGCTGGTCAGGGAAAGAGGGAGCCGTGGAATAAACAGCAAGCTGTGGTCTTGCTCCCTCCTACTTGCTAGGGGTGAAGAGAAGGAATTTCTAGATCAGCTTTAGGGGAAGAGATCCAGCGCACATGCATGCGATGTGAGAGACAGGTATTTCTTATATGAGCACCTTTGGCTGACAGTTGTAAGGGCTGTTTCAGATGCTGAAAAGACAGAGGGGAAACCTCTTCCGGGCCACCTACCAGAGGGAGGGGAGAGCAGGAGGGACACAACCGAGCAGGAGGGGCAAAAACAAGCAGGAGAAAAACCAACCTGCCTTAGCATCCACCCCTCCTTCCTTTGGAAGGAGCAAGAGGAAGCAGAGAGGGCTGGGGGAGCAGCCTCACACGGCTGGGCAGCGTCACGCTGCTGCCATCATCCTCCCACAGACCGAGGATGGAGGCACAGCTCACTCCTGCTTCTGCCACAGAAAGGCCGGAGAAAGGCATTTCATGTCCCTCTCTCACAAACAAGAGCACTGATGGACATCAGGAGGAAGATATGGGCTGGAAGCAAACTCCTCTTTTCTTCCCTTTCTCCTGAGGAGCTGAACAGGTTGGAAGATGAGGGAGAAGAGGAGGGATCAGGGCACCTGAAAGCACCCACACAACTGCCAAGGTAGCACCAACAGTCAAAGGAAAGGGGAAGCCAATATGAGGCATAGGCTGCATGGGGCAACCCCCAGCACCCCAGCTTTGTCTCAAGCACCTTCCAGGCATGACATTTAACCTGTCCTTCTCCCCCTCACTTTGAGGGCATCTGGATCAGCAACTGCCACAAGGACAGTAGAGGAGAGGGCAGATCCAGGCCGCAGGCCAAGAGGGGAAGGATGGCAGGATGGTAGTCATAGCAAGGGGGAAACAAGAATGGAAGAGTCTGCATGCACGTTGCGGGAGAAAGTCTGGAGGACATGGGCAAGGGCTCCAATCCTCTTACATCCTCCTCTCACGGGTTTGGAGCTCCTCTTCAGTTTTTGTCAAAGACAGAAGGGGAATGAGGAAGAGCAGCACCTTCCTCACCACCTGCACAGGCACACAGACACGTGCTCACTCATCCCTCAGCCCCAAAGGCTCCACCGCCCGTTGGACAACACCACATTCAAGGACAAACAACCACTCCCCAGCCCCACCATAACCCTCCCTGCCTCCTCCTAGCAGTACCAACACCCAGGAACAGTGGGTGCTCCCACACCCCCACTGACACACTCCAGCCTCCAGGCAAGAGGAATTGGGCAGGAGGAGAGGAGGAGGAAGGGTGGCAGTGAGGGTAGAGGGACAGCCAAGGGGAGAAGGAGAGAACTAAGGACAGCCATTCGCACCACGACTTCTCTCAGGCAGAGCTCCCCCCACACCCCTGGAGTGGGGGGACCCGGTTGCTCACTTGCTGCCTCCTCCACCACTGCCCGCCGCCACCTTCTCAAAATCCTCTGCATTGCAGAACTCCTTGATGGTTACAGTGAGGAGGTTGCTGGTGACATCTGTGACCACCACATTAGAGCAAGGGGACATCTCAGGACGCCAGTCACCAGCCTCCTGCTCCGGGTCAGAAGAGGAGAGGGACAAGGAGGGAGTCTGCCCCCCAGTGCACCCCCCCGAGGGAGAACGCTTGCTGGTGGCAGCCGACTCAGGGGGGATTGAGAGGTCGAGGACCTCTGACTCACGCCAGTCGGGGATGGCTGGGCTGAGGGTCTCAGGGAGCAGCTTTGGAGGGGAATCATCTGGGTCGGAGGAGGAGTGGGGAGCAGGTGAAGGGCAGCCAGAGGAGCTGGAGCTGGGGGCATCATAGGGGGTGGAGCCCATAATGAGCCCACAGGAGGCTGCCTGGGAGCCTTCGGCCTCCCCCTTGCCCTCCAGAGAGGGGGTAGGCGCAGCAGACGGCTTATTGTAGAGTGAAAAGGTGCCAAACTTCATGTGGCGGATCTGAGTGCGCAGGACGCTCTCGCTGAACTTTTTGCTCTTGCCAATGACCCGGTTTCGGGAAGGGATCTTGGGCCGGGCCAGGCCCCCGGCCCCATTGGCCGGCTTCCCACCTTTGTCAATGACCTTGAGGTTGAGGATGATGCGGCTGCGCTTGGGCTCGCGGGGTTTCACCTTACGGTTGATGATGCGCACGGTCTCCGAGAAGGGCGAGACGGGAGGACGAATGCCAGCCCCGCCGGCCACGCCGCCGCCGTTCTGGGGATCCGGGCGGGGCAGGGGGCGCCGGGACATGCGGTGGCATCGCCGGATGTCCTTCTTGAGCCGGTGCACCGCGGCGCTGGAGTGGAGCTTGGGAGAGGAGGTACTGGAACCAGGCTTGACAGAAAAGTGTACATCCCCAATGTGGAGGGCCTCCGCTTGGGCCCGAGCCTGCGGTGGTGGGGAGAAAGAAAACAAACAGGGTCAGAGAGGCAGCCTAGCTGCAGCCAGAGCTCCAATGGGGCACTGCTCACTCACCAAGCACTCGCCGGCAGCACCGTGACACATTTATACCCAACATCAATGACAAGCACAGGAACACACCTACAACTATTGATAGCTCCAGCACAGCCCCCAGACAGACACAGGGCACTGTCTGTATCATTTTTGGGCAGCTGATGTCTCCCTAGGCTGTACCCCTGTTGACACATGCTTTCCCCAGGGAGAAACTGCAACTTCCCAGGCAGATGTCAGGGTTAAAGTTAATGGTCTCCAAAGCCCCCCCTTGGTCATCATCAGTCAAAGTGCACAACCCTCCACTGCCAGCCAAAGAAGCCAGCATCATCCTAGGCACTTGGGGCTGTCAGTGCTGAGACAGCACCCAAACTTACAAAGGGATTGTACCAGGCTCTCTACAAATGGAACGTGAGATAAGAGGGAAGAGGCAGAGTAATGCCTAATGAGAACTGCCTCTAAAAAGGGTGGTAGAAGGGGGTCTTGAGGAACACAGACGGAGGCTGGTGAGAATGGTCTGATGGAGATGTCTTCATTAAACACAAGAAATTTAGAGGTCTGATTTTTAACTAGGATCACATGGAAGTCATTCATTCTTACTGTGCGGTGGGAGTAAAGTCCAGTGTCTAAAGCCAGAGATGAGGCCAGCTGGAATTCAAGTAAAATTTAACTGCACCTCCAAAGAAGAGACTGGCTTGTCCTTTTGAGCACCACACTTGTTTGAAACCTAGCAGTGGACCAGAGCAGAAATAGCACCTGTTCAACTGTTCTATGCCAGCCCTCCTCAAGAGCCAGGCCAGGGGAACAATATTTTTAAGCTCTTCTGGTGCCAAAAACTGCCCTGGTTTATCCAGCAGAGACAGGAACATTTCCTGGCAGCAGGAACAACAGTTTCATTGATAAGCTGGTGCTGTATGACCTGTGGGCATGGAAACCCAGAGTCTATTCTTACACCACATCTCATCAGAGCACTGTTGCTTGTATAGCTCATCCTTCCACCTGCACCCCAGGACTTGCCCAAGACAACCCCCTTCCATATTCCCTCTCAGCAGCGGTGACAGGAAGAAGCCACGCAGGCCTGGAGGGGACAGGCGAGCCCCCACCCTGGGACCGCCCATCCCGCGAGCAGCTTCCCCCACCTCGTGGGCACAGAACGAACTGCAGTGCTACAACACGACAGCTGCTTTTCCTCCCCAACTTTTCCATCCCATTGCCCCTCGCACACGCCAAGATCGGGATGGCTTCTTGCCAGCTAAGAGCTTAGCGCTCAACTCCATCTCCTTTGTCACCCTGCAGGCTGTGCCTCCTACCAGAGAAATGCCTGGGGAAAAAATGTGCGTGTAAAGGCAGGGATCTAGCAGATCTAAGCGAGGGGCCCAGCCAGCCCCTGCACAAAAAGCTCAAAGTCCTGGCCCTACAGCTCCAGAGCTTTGCCGTTAGCCAGAGCCCCTCTTCTCCCACAGAGATACCCATGGGAACCACAGAAAATCCTGAATGAGCACAGAGTGGAGACGTGAAGACATTTTGTTCCTCTCTCGACTAACACTGGATGATCACAGCCTTCAGTACTACATGTATTCTGGCTTTAAAAGAACTGCAAAAATGAGGCCTCCTTCTCTGGCTGTACAAGAACACACAAACTGAAGGCTCACCCTGTCTGGGGACCTAGACTACGTGTTAGCCAAATGACAAAGAAACAGACAAAGTTAGCACAACCCCAAGTCAGGCACAGCCACTCTGCTCATTAACACACAGGGTGTTCCCAGCTAGCTAAAGGGAAGTGTTCCCAGCACACACAAACCCCAACACTTTTTCTGCTGTAGCAGAAAGCATCCCAATGTCCACCTAGTTACTCCTTGCTCAGCCTCCTGTGTTACTCCATGCCCCAAACTGCTGGGAAAATAAGATACAGTTCCTGTCACAGGCACAGTACAGGCCTGAGCCCAGCAACAGCTCCAGGTGAACTCCCTGCACCACACATGAACTCTCCCCCTCACATCACTACACAATCACAACGTGGAGACACTGCAGACCCGGTCAGGAGGTCACAGGCAAATGCACATTTGGGCTGTGCTTACTTCGTCTCTTCACGGTTGCCTCTAAAGCAGATGGCAGGCACAAGGACAAGCTAAAGTTTGCTTTCTGACATTACATACCAGCACAGCCTGAATTAACAAATTTGCTCCTTTTCATCCTGCTCCACACCACAGCCAGCCCTTCCAGCATTGCTGCTCTTGTGCTTTGGGTTTCTTACCAATTTACCACTGCTGAGTCAAGAGCAAAGCACAATACAACGTCCCATTCCAAAACCCAGGACAGGGAAGCCAGGCAGAGGCTACAGACAGATGCATCACTGAAAATCCTTCTACAGCTTCAGTGGATGGACACAGGTATCCTTCAGGGTCTCTCCTATTGCCAACACTGCACTTCCAGATTAATTGCCTAGCCCGTAATCATGCCTTCGAGTGAGGAGCTCTGCCCCCTCTGTGCCATTCTGCTCCAAGTCAAATCTAATTGCCACCTTCTACCAGCACCGCCTCCATCACCCAGGAGAGAAAGAAGGCAGCTTCCCAGAAGTGTGGGGGAAGCAGTCACAAACACCCTCAGTTTCCTTGTACACCCCAAAAATTCCTGAGCAAAGCTTCCCATCAGCCACATGAAACAAAGTGATAATTCTGGGATGGTTAATTCCTGGCCACTTCCACAGCCCTGTTCTTTTACCTTCTCTTTCTGCATACATTAATCAGCTCCTGTCCTGCTTTCACAGAGAGACCTGTCCTGGTTTTGTGCTTGTCCAGCAGCTACTGCAGAGCCCTAGTACATGGCTTGGACTTTTCCAGTGTGCCAAAACCAGTAGGTATCATTTATGTGCCATGTGTCTCCGTTTCCACTTACTTCTGGGGCACTTTCTCACAGCTGAAGCTGTTTCTAACTCATGTTTCAGCTATCTGCCTTTATTGAATTCCAGCTTCAGTAGTGTCCAGGCGGTCTACACACGGCATTGATACTTTGGTCAGATTAAGAGAGAGGGTTAAATTAGGGCCCAACAGTCCTTCCCTGCTGCTACACTGCTATCCCCAGTGGCCAGCTTCAATGCAAGTTCCAAAGAGCATTATGCAAGTATTCTGCTTACCTTGAGATTGTTTTTCCAGGTAAGGTTTCAAGAAAAATCGTATCAGATGCTTTATCTAAGACCAGCCCCCAGAGCTTTCTCACTTGGGAAGCTCAGTATTCCTACCACAGGATCAGGTTTATTCAGGCATCACCTACATGAACTCGTCCCTTCACTGCAGAGGACAGCACTGAGGCTCTCCTTCCCCCGCTTCCAACTTTGGATTAAGTAACTTGCTACCTTTGGTTTGGAGAAGACTCAACATTCAGTTTTATCTGCTGGAAATGCACTTCTCCCTGCTCTGGGCCCATTTCTTGATCATTCCCAAGCCATACGAGGATAATGTATTTGAGAAACAAAGCCACTGAATCCTTTCAGCTGTGTCACCACAGTTTGCTCCTTGGCTCACAAGTTCTCCACATGGAAGCCACCTCTCCAGGTTTTGCTGCTTTCACCAGCAGGATGTGCTCACTGCTGAAGAGGTACTCAGCATGTATACGAAGTAATTCACTCTGCTTACAGCTCAGCCTACATCAGGATGCAGTTTCTGGAAGCTTGCTGCAGTGCTCTGTCATGAGAGCAAGCCAATTGCTGGGATTGCTTCCCTTCCCCCTCTTCCCGTCTGGGATATGTATCACCTTTATTTATCTTGTACAGCTCTCCCTCACTGCCCCTGGGAACTAGTGTATCTCCCCCATTCCCTACTATTTCTGAATAAGTGTCCCTCGAGGCCCAGCAAGCATATTTGTTCATTCATTCCCTTAACGCACCGAGGCACACAAGCACGTACACAGACACGTGCTTAGAAAGGCCTCTCCTACCTGATTTGTATCAAAATCTCTACAATTTGGAAGGAAAAAAAAAAAAAAAAATCAAACCCAAGGCCTTGTAAAGCAATAGATTTCTAGTGAATTATTTTAAAATCTCGCCAATTCCAGTAGTGCTGCTGCACCATAGTAGCGCTACTCTCTCATAAATTACTGGCTCTGCTTTGTCTTTTATTCTCCACCTGAATTCCCACAGTCTTTGCTCCCAACAGCATTTGCAAGAGCTCTTCTTTCCTCTTTTTGGCTGCCATTCTGCCTTTTTATCACCCTCTTTCTTCTGCAGTCTTCCAAGTGACAAGGCAAAAGCAAGCCAGTTCATAGCACAGTTCTCCCAAGCAACACTGCCATAAACTAAAGTTTCCCTCCGGATTGGGAACAAAATGCTACAAAAGGGGAACGGTCTGTTTTCAAATTACTCAGGATAATTTATGAACAGGGAGGAGATCAAAAGAAACCCAATTCCAGCTTTGGAGTTCAAGAGAGGGCAAAAGGACAGAGCATCATGCTGCTCAGCCCCTTGTCCCCCACTCTCCTACTAAGAATCCCTTTACCCTTGTTCTCCCTTACTTCTTCCTTCCCATTAACCTTCTTGGCTCCTGTCACCTTAGTATTTATGGCCACCCCAGCTAGGGGTCTTTGCCAGCCACCCACTGAGCTTGCAGATTGGGCTCTGTCTCTGAATAGCACTTGCTAGACTTTATTAAGTGAATTGGTGAGGTTTGCATTCCACACATTGGAGTGCCTGGAGAAAAAAGTTAAATCAAAAGAGCAAATGGAGCAGGAGAAAAAGGAAGATCACTACAGCACATGCTATGTCTCTCTCTAACCTCACACCAGCATCCATGCTGAAGGGCCTGTCCTCAAGGATCACTTCTGCCAGACACCTGAAGAGCCTTACATACAGTGCTGCCCATTTCAGACTAAGAACTTCCATTCCATCTGCTCAGCAAAGGGCTGCAGCACACCAGCAGCCTCCCAAGAATCACAGCCTCCTGCCAAGCCAGAGCTCAGCTGTGGGAAAGTTTGCCCCCAGCATGCAAAGGATAAAGACCCATTTCCTGCCCAAAACTCTGCAGCTGAAGTTTGCAGGGGTCGCTTTCAACACCGGCCATCTTGATAGCAATATTACAAAGCCTGTTCTGTGATGTGCCTCTGCAGTCTGATGGAAAGGGCAAGTGTTAGACAGCTCTCAGAAACAGGAGCCTGGCTTACAAAGCAGCAGGTGGTCAAAGATGCAGCTTTTCAAAGCTTTTCCAAAGGCGTGGGCCACTAACCTGCAGGAACGCTTTCTGCAAATCCCCCTGGGTGCCTATCTGCAACTTTTGAGAACTAATCCCAGGATAAACCTAGTCCCAAGTGCAAGCTAAGACACCCACACAAGCCAAGGGACTGAGTGCCATATCAGGGCACTTATTTTGATGCCATTCTGGAGACTCAGAAGCCTAGGCTTAAGCACCAATACACGTGAAAAATCCTAGCAAACCACTCAGTCAAGGGCAGACTACTCCATCAAAGCAGTCCTAGGCCAGATTTCTGCTTAAACATCATTGCATCCAGGCCTAATCTGTTCAGTTAACAGATCAAAAAGAATATTGTTCTAACTGCCAACTCCAAATACTCCCTCTGGGACACAAGAATCAAATTTCTTCCCCTGCTTCCGAAATTCTCACTGGCAAGAGATTCTGCAGCTGAAAGAACTGAAAATACTGTTAGCAATGCCCGAGGCAGAACCCAATCCCACTCCTCCCCCAGCAGAACCAGTGCTGCAGGGCTGGAAGAGGGGAAATGTGCATCTTCAGGGGTCAGAACAGCTGAGTTACAAACCATCCCACTGTCTCTGCTGTAACTCTAGCAGCAGTTGTGTCGATTGTGGTTTGCCTGAACAGAGCTCAAACAAGTTCAGATGGGGCTGGCTCAGACAGAGTTACTGCTCACTGCCTGGTCTGGGGTGTTATTTTTAGGGTAGGATCCGAAGTCACAGAGGAACAGCAAGTCAGAGCTGCTCTGTTTCCCAGAGGTGCAAACCCAGCAGCAGTGGCAGCGCTCTGCCCTGCCAGCCTCTCCCACAACGTGGCACCAGCCCTCAGGAGAGCTGATCTTGCTCCCCCATCACGAGTCATCTTCTACAAAGCACCAAGCCAGCTCTGCAAACCTACAGGTTTCCAGTACCATTTGAGGAGCTGGCAGAAGGAAGATGTGCCACAGAAACGTGTCACGGACGTGATTCAAAGGATGCTGCTGAATAATTCACGTTAAGTTTAGGGGAGTTTTAAAGGGTAATGGGAAAAGAGAAGCAATGAGTGGGTTTTGAGTTCGGGGGTTGGTTTTGGTTTTTAAATGAGTGAGAATGAGTAATTTTTTTTTAAAATGAGTGATATGGCACAAAATGTGGCCATATCACATTCAGAATAAAAAATAAAAGAAAGTGATTACACATAGCATAGTCACCACTCTACAGCTCTGAACAGTGTCAGGTGTTACAAATACCAGTATTTTTTAATGCAGGCAGAGGACTCTTTCAAGCTGGTGATTTTCCCTTCAAGTGTTCCTTTGCATTGTTGGGAATTTAAACACAAGAGTTACATTTAATGCATGACTGCCAGAAAGAGGAAATCCAACTAGTCTGTGTTCTCTCAATAGAGCACAAGAGGTAGTACATTATCAGGTATGTTTGTAATTCTCAGGCTCCAGACACAAACACTGTTAGCAGAAAAACAGGCAACCAGGGAGGACAGTTCCATCACCAGGACTTCCCAAGGATTGCCATGGTCCCCTGGGCTTCACACAGAGCATCAGAATACGCCTGCTCCTGCATTTCTTCTGCATACTTCATTAAGCCCTCTCAAAGCAGAGAAGAGGTGACACCCTACCCCTCACTGTGCTTTCCGGTGCTCATGCAGTTAAAAGTGCTGTGCTGACTTGAGTAAAGCTGCTATTGCTGCCAGGCAAAGGGAAGTATTAACCTGTTTCACAGATGGGGAAACACGCACAAAGCCTAAGTGACTTGCCCAAAGCCACAGGATGACTTGGTGATAGTGATGCCTTACTACAGGGTCCACACTGGCTGTTCCAGGGCTTCCTATCAGAATAAAACCAGGGGAATTCCAGACTTGCTCATCTCTCTAAACTGTACAAAGGTGTGTTCTTTCTATGCTCATTTGAAGCCAGCGATTGTGACAGCTGGAGAGGAAGGGGAGGGAAGAGGGGAGTAGAGCAAGGCATTTAATCTGTAAACTAATAAATTCACAGAGCTCACATAACAGTCATGCAGCTACCAGAGTTCTTAATTAAAAAAAAGGTAAAAATACAGAGCAAGTAGGCCTGCACTAGGGACTACCTTCCTCGCTCTTCTCTGCAAGCAGAGATGCTACGACATCTTGCAGAGATGCTGAGTCTATCAGAAAGGAACTGGAAACTTCAGCTCCCTTCCTATGCAGAGGTGAAACACTCCTCCTCCTCGCCAGCCCTCACCCTCTGCAAAAGCTAAACAAGCCTGCAGTTTACAGATCAAAGCATGAACCCTTCGTGAAACTCCCGTGGAGCACCCACATCCTTAAATGCAATCAGAGGAGCACAAGTGGCAGTGGGATTCCCGCCTCTGCTGCCTGACCGCTCAGCACGCTGCTAAGTTGCAGGGCACGGGTTGGATGGAACAGCCTGCTGAAGGAAGAGGGAACGAGACTGGCTGGCTCTCCACTGCGGCAACAGAAGGCCACGAGAAGGAGAGGATATTGGAAGAAGAGACTGCAGGCTCACCACGCACATCTGCGTGTGCTGACCGTCCTGCTGAGGCCCCGCCGCACGCACACCGCCCTCCCCTCACACGCTCCTGCGCCTCTGCACACCCCCCCTTTCCTGTCGGGTTTTCCCCGCGCTCCCAGAGCCAGGCATCAGGCACAAGTCACTTGAAAGTCCAGTCCTTCCAAGGGCACGCACCAGCAAGGTTTGAGAGATTTTTTTTTTTTTTTGCTAGGCCTAAGTTATTTAATTAAGAGTTACCTTCAGCAGAAAAGTTTTAGGTTTAGGTCCTCTCTTCTTGGGCCCGTACAGCTCACGTTCTCGTTCCCTTTAGGGAATCAAATTTTTCAAGAAGTTAAAACTTTTCCCAAAGGGAAAAACAGAAGCATACAAGTCAAAGGGAAAAAAAAAAAAAAAAAAGAGGAAAAAATTAAGAAAAAAAGAAAAGGAACGTCTGGACGCTGTTTCCCGCTCGCCCACCCAAAGTCAAACCTGCTGCTGCAGCCCCCCCAGCCCAGGGTGGGGGATGAACACTCACTTCTGCTCGAAGGCGGCGATGAGGCGGGAGTCCAGGATGTTCTCCTCGGGTTCCCAGGTGCTGTACCTGCCGGGCGGGAGCAGCGGAGGGGACAAGCGAAGCTGTTAGCGCCCAAATCCCCCCGCAGCCGCGCACACGGATACCTCCCCCTCCATCCCACTCCGCCCCATCCCATGCCCCCCATCCCCGCAGCCCGGGCGGGATACACTCACTTGATGGCCCAGCCTTTCCATTTCACCAGGTACTCGATGCGCCCCTGCAACACACGGGGGAGAAGACGGGGGGGGGGGGTGGGGGGGGGGGAGGGGGGGTGTGAGGCGGGGGCCCGGCGGGAGGGCCAGCGGCGCGGCCGGGGCCCGGCAGCGAGAACCGAGGTTGGGGGGGAGTCCCGCAATCCCAGTGGGGGCGGCCCCTCACCTTTCGGATGCGGCGCTTGATGATGGACTCGGCGGCGAAGACGCGCTCCCCCACTGCAGACAGCTCCATCTTGCTGCTCCCCCTCGGCGGCGGCAGCGGCGGCGGCGCCCACAGCCCATAATAATCCCGCCCGCCTGCGCGCGCCGCCCCGCCCCCTGCCCGCGGCCCCGCCCTCCTCGTGCCGCCGCCGGCTCGCGCACGCCCGCGCGCCCCCTCCCGCCGCGGCCGCGCGTGACCCGCCCCCCCGTGGGTGAGGGCCCTTAAAGGGGCCGCGGCCGGGCGGGGCGGGGAGCGCCGAGCCCCGGGCCCGCGGGATGGCCGCGCAGCGGGGAGGGGAGCGAACGGAAGGGAAGCGAATCCCGCCCGGCAGGTCCCCGCCATGGCGGCGGTATTGCCCCTTCCCGCCCGAACGGGGCCTCTTTTTTTACTTAAAACAATGGCGGCAGCCTCTTCTCCCGCTGCAGATGCACCGTCACCCCTCTCGCCAGCGAGGAGGCAGGCAGCCTTAAAGCACGTACCACGGCAAAAACCAGCAATAAAGGCGCTTAAATATTTTCTTTCCTTTTTCTGTGTTTTATTCCATTTAGCTGGTGTGTGTGCCAGTATAAGGTACAATTTTTGAGCCAGTGTAAGGTAGTGCGAGGTAAATGGGCCAACCATGCTACATAAACCTGTAAGGAAACCAGAAAAATGTTAAGTCACTTAGAGGAATTCCCTGCCCTGACTATTGCTGCAAACCCCTCATTAATTTGCAGCATACTTTACACTCTCCTCCAGCTGCTAAAAAGACAAAAATCTCAGTCAAAAACTGTTCTCTGTGGTTCAAAGTGGAAGCTCATAGCCCTGCAGCTGTATTTGTGTGGAACACAGGGTCCACCCTTACTTGGAGGACCTTGTCTGGCCCGTTCTGCTTTCTCACCTGCTTTTGGGTGAGGAGGCTGTGCATTTTAGATACCCTCTGGTGATGAGGGCTAGAGGGAATGGTTGTTGTCCTGCATTTGCTGCTCTTTCTAAACCCAGCGTGACCAGCAAGGTACCTGCAGAGCACTGGAACCCCCCTGTTACCTGCTCCCCAGCTGGGCTGGCAGGGACTCCTCACAGACCCTGTGGCCCTTGCTAACCCTTTCTACATTTGCATTCACAGCCCCTTTCCACCTCTTGCTCAGGGGTTTCACCCAGGAGGAGGAAATTCTGGAAAGGGCTATATTATGGCTATAATATAGTTCTAGTAGGGATGGATTTCCCAAAGTCAAGGCAGGCAGGTAACATTCAAAAATGAACGTTTTCCTCACTGCCTGTGATTCAGGCAAGATCTGTTCAGAGTGTTTTTTCTTTTTCACCTTAGCAGCTGAAACATTGCAGCCGACACAAGCTCTCTGCCTGGAGGAAAGGTGACTCAGGAGAGGATGTGCTTCCCACTGCCATGTCCCCATTGGCAGTGGGGTTGGTGGAGAGGTTGCTGGATGCTGATGGAGACAACGACACAGACCCTGGTTCTGGACACGTGACCGGTTCGGAGAAGGACGTGTTTCCCAGTCAGGGACTGAAACACAGCATGCTTCATCACTGCTAATTCTGCATTTAGGTCATACCCCTCACTTGGAGAATAGGCTCTAAGAGGCCCTTACTCAGGTGTTTGGCATCGCAGGCCAGGCAAGAACAAAAGTCCACGACTCTCACTTGGAGTGGATCAAGTCCTTCTGGAGCAGCCCTTTTCCCCAGACACCACCTTTTTTTAATCTCAGTTCTTCATATGCTTAAAGGTGACTCCAAAAGAACAAGTCTATCACACCATTGCATTTTGCTTTTCACTTTTTAACTTTGCACATTAAGTGTTCATTAACACCATCCACATTTAAATTAGTGTTTGTTACTGTTCACTTTGTTTAAACAACTGCTTTTACATTTGTAGCTGAGTGTGAAGCAACTGAGCTTTCGAACACGAACATCATCCACCCCCAAAGGCAGGCACCCTTAAATCAAAAGGGGGAAAAGTCTTTACATGGCTACACAAACACATGTGCAGCAACCAAGACTGGTGGCCTTGTCACAAAACAGATGTGTGGGTCACGAATAGCACAGCTCACCTCAGGACAGGAGCAAAAGGCACCGTGATCCACGGACCAGAAGGGGCAGCAGCTTTTCAGAGGGCTCCATGTGCTCTTTCTAGTTATTCTCTCCTTTCACCTGTCAGCAGAACCTTCCTTCCAGCCACAGCCACTGCTCAAATCACTGCGAGCTGCCATTGCACAGGTATGGCCTAACACTTTCATCTACCTTGTACTCTCACAAAGCAAAATAGTACAGAATATCCAGCTGTTCAGGACATTGTTGGGCATTTCCTTTGTTTCATTCACATTTCTAGTAAAACACTTAAAAAAATCCCAACCCACCTGGGAAGCCAGCCCTCCCTGAATAAGCTATTGTTCACTACAGACACTGAAATAAAATATTTTTCTTGCAATTCGCTGCCTGCAAAACCCTGGTGCCATAGGATACACTGTAGCACTTCTTACTAGGAAGTCAGTGCCTGGAAGCAATAAGCTTTAGGAGAGCAACAACATCTTTCACATCAAAACCCCTAGTCAGCGGTGTAAGGGCACGGGGGACAGCAGCAGGTGTGAGAGAGTTTTTATGTGTTTTTGAAATGACACTTAATAATGGGAAACTAACCTGCTCAAAGTCAGTAGCTGCCTCCAAGCTCATTTTTGGTGGACCTGGTAGGAATAGCAGCACTTGTCTCCAGGAGAAAAGCTCCAAGGGTTCATTTAGTGACTCTGCTGCTCTTCACTCCAGCAAGGTCACTGTTAGGAGCAGCACACTTTGGAAAGCAAATGGTAGTCCCTCACCTGTGCTAGGAACAGCTGCACACAGCCCAGCCCCTCAAGCCAATGTGGTGTACATTTCCAAGCAAACCCTTGGCACTATGGGCATCCAGGTGAATGTGTGCTGGGATTTCCCTGCTGCAGCTCTGGAGCACACAGAGGCAAAGGCAGGTCCCTTGGAGCTGACCCTGCACACCAGGTACAGGGGGCTCAGCATGGCCCAAGCAGTTGCCAGAACAACCAGCCCTCCAGTGCAGTAACTTTTTGATGCAGCAGAGAGAGAAGGCCCATGGGGTTTGTGCTGTGCCTCCACCAGTGGGATGCTATGACATCCCTGGGGCCTGCCTAGGAGATCCCAAAGCAGGCCCAGCTGCCCAGGCTGCCACTGGCTCAGCATGATTACACAAGTCCTCCAGATTTCTTCATTCTCATCTCAAAAGCAGTCGCTCGGCAAGCAAAATGCTGTGAAGGGCAGGGAAGCTGTGTGGCACTGAACAGACAGGAAGAGATTGTCCTCACAGGGGTCACACAGGCTGCATTTCACTTTCTGCTTCTCAGAGAACATCCAAGTGCTCAACCCTTGTGGTTTCCCCTTTCGCCAAGTGCCCTTGTTCTGTGGCATCCAATGGGGAGAGCTGTGCAAGGCAAGTCAGCTGCACTGCACAGAACAGAGGGGTGGCATAGCAACAGATTATTAAAAAAAGGACTGCCCAGATTAACCTTTAATCCAGCCAACACATGCATGCAAAAGGACAAGCTGTTTCTAGTACCAGCCAGCCTCTGCAGCTTTGGCTGAGGTAGGAAGACACAATCTCCAGAGCAGGCTTTCCCGTAACTCTGCACTGCAGTTTCTTACAGCTTCACCTGACCCTGTAGCTGCTGCCAGAAAGTAAGTGGCTGGCTGGAGTCCTGCTCTGATGCCATCACTCAGCTCAGCTTCCCTGGCTCAAGGCAAGCATGCTGACAGCCCTTTGGTAACACAGGCAAGACCTAACCACGCTGCCTTGAGCCATGGCTGAGTCAGGAAACGCACCCCATCCCCCTCTGCTTTTGCTCCACTTGTTCTGTGATTGATGCCATAGCTGCATTCAGGTGCAGGGCTCACCCCCACACTGCATCTACTAGAGCTATCTGAGACAGCCCCATTCTCTTGGCCAGATACCTCTATAAACACCTGGCCTCTCCCTCCACAGGGGATGGAGTGGGACACACCTTGAAGGAGCAAGCCAGGCACCCAAGTGGACTAAATGACATTTGGGATTTCCTCCATGGAGTATCAGCAGTTCCGGGACTCGAGCTCCTTGGCTAAGTCCTGGGGTGAACCAGGGGCCACACTGTACCCAGGAGCAGCTGTGCTCCTGAAGAGGTCCCTGGAAGCCTTGCTGGCCAAACCATTGGAGCTTTGGCTTGGAGGAGAACTGCTGTCCTGCTGGCAAGCACAGCAGAGCATGCCTGGCAGCCCAGGTCTCACTGCAGACTTTCTCCATTCCAATGAGATGCAGGATGTGGGGCACACCAGCACTCTCCTGTGCTGGCAGAGCTGTCCTGGCACTGCAGCCTCATGAAGGATGTAGAGAGCTCCCTAAACCCAGAGCAACAGCCACCCTGCCATCAGTGTTCTCCTCTTAAAATTATAATCCATCAAAGACAATTCATCCCAGGTCAACCTTGGACAGCTCTAACTTACCCAGTGGGTTAAAAATTAATAAAAACTTGACCTCCTCTAATCAAAGTAACGAGTAATGTCAGAAGCAGCCTTTTGCAGGCTCCATTCTTCATCAATCCTTCTTTACTGATCTTCCTCACGCACACATGCATGTTCTCCATTCTTTTTCCAGCTGCACTGCATGTTTATACACCAATAGTTGTGACTGTTGGAAAATAATTCAGCTGTAGAATTAAAGCAAGGTGGGGGTAAATGACCACACAAACATACCGTAAGGTAAATGTCAGTTCTCATATTTAATATTTTAATAATTTTGTTTGCAACATTTACCACATAAATCATCTAAATAAATAGATGCTGTACAGTCTCTTATCCATATCAGTACAAAAATAAAACCACACTTTGTGTCAAATTATACTTGAGCCTGCCCTCCCTTTGCTATTACAATCTCCTTTTACAGCACATACTCGCTCAGAAAAGGCATTATACTCTGATTGGTTTGTTTGGAATTGGTTTACTCCCTGTTTCCCCCCCTCCCCAAATACATTCAATTAGTCTGTACAAAAGCTAGAAGCTCATTCTGTGCAAAAGGAAGCTTTCTGTGTGCAAACACTCCAATACTCTAGCGTG